TGAGGTTGTATATACATATTTTTAGTACCTATATATTTTTTAGTTTATTGTATATTATACAATACAATGAATACGTTTGTATTATTATATTGCACAGAAACTTTATAATTTAATGGTATGCATAAGTTTCAACATTAAAGTTTGTGAATCAAGAACATAACGGATATTTTACGAACGTATCTTCTCTGCGCTAGGAGATGAGACAGTCTGGGATCTGGTTGCAATTCAGATGAGCAACGCACGTCTGCGCGACATTGTCGATGTAAATCGCGTATTTATCCCGTGCGATAACGAGAGTAGAGTTCAAGAAAGCGTACCTTGGTTGTTATAAGTTTGCGGAAGTTGGCGAGATTGAGAGACAGAGTGAGAGTGTGAGAGAGAGAGAGAGAGAGAGAGAGAGAGAGAGAGAGAGAGAGAGAGAGAGAGAGAGAGAGAGAGTTCACGCCCGGTTTAAATAATAATTCCACAGAGAGATATTCTTCTCCCGCTCATTCTTTGCCTCTCGATAGTCAGGGATCGCAGCTGCGCCCCTCACATCCTGACCTATTAAACTTACTTTTCTCCTCGTTTCACCCACGCCCTATCTCCCTTTCCCTTTGCATCGGAAACTGCGAGTCGCCGACCATTCAGAGCAAAGTCCGGATGCAGATGCAGCTGCATCGCGTCCGGTCGTGCACGGCTCGATAACGGCGTGCTACTTTCTCGCGACTGCGACCTTTGCCGGGGGCTCGGCGTGTAATAAATATGATAGCAACGAATCGAAAAATCGGGAGGGATAAACGCTTCCCATCTGGGAGCTTCTACTTTCATCGCGAATTGTCGGGCAACAACTTTGGAAAGCTACGTAATTAGAACTCGGCTCCCGACTTCGTTAACGAAGTGGGCATTAATAACTTTTAATTGCGAAGAATCGCGCGTATACTTTTAGAATCGCGTAAAATCGTTTTTAATTTTATTTTCATATTCTCAAGTTGATCGCTGATGCCAAAGATTATATAATTAATAACTTATTTATTATGCATGTCAATTGAAATATCACTTCGTTGCTTCAAAATTTGAATTTAAGTTATTTAAATATTTATATTGCAAGCGGCTTTTCAATTAAAATTTCTCTGAAATGCCATCAATTTACATCGAGCACCGGCAGAAAACTCGACCGTCAGTTGCATCGGAAGATGTAATATATCTTATGAAAACGTCAAGAGAGCTCCTACGAACCTATAAAGTTCGACTTCCTACTCCGCCGACGCGTCCGCGTACTACCGAATCTTCCAGCACGAATATCAGTGGATTTCCAATCCGCCCCGCCCGCGCCGGTCGTTCGTTTCGCCTCGTACTTGGCCTAAAACCCTCGTAATAGGAATGATCCATCGAAATCCAAGTTTCTCCATTTTTTGCTAGAGAAGCTCGATTTCGCTTTCATTTTTGCTTGCATCCTTTTCGAATGTAAAATATATTCCATTAAAAAGTTTACATACTTATTTTCATTGATCTGACATTTAAAAAAATTTATTTAATAAAATAAAATTACGGACAGAGATACTTCAGTTTTTCTTTAATTACGTAATTTATATATCTAATTTTTCTTTCCTTGACGAAAATGGTGCCAAAGTTTTTATTAAGAAATTAATAAATATTTCGACATATTTCTTTAGTAATAAATTTTATAACATTTACTTTTTTATATTTTGTCTCTTTTTCTCTCTCGATAAATCTAAATGCGTCTTTTTGAAATAAGATCGATGTTTCGAAAGATTTGAACATTTTATAAGTGTGTAAGAGGGTAGCATGTGTTGGAGTGTGGATTTACCCCTTCCATTGGAATCGACTTATCGAGTGAGACGGGATCAAGCCGAAAACAACATCTGTGGAGTGTCGGCTTCAGATAGACGCTGGAGCCAACCAACACCGTATTCGAATCCGGGATCAAGCCTTCGTCCGGTCCTGATCGTAAAATCTCGGGGGAGCGTCGTGAAACTTAAAGCCGCGCACACCTGTCCGCCTGAAGCATTCATGCTCGCAAGTTTCGCAGGATAAGCGCCTGGAACGCAATTAAATGGTTAATCCGTAGAAATTCAGACGACGGCGATATACCGTTGCAAATGATATCTCCACGGTACCTCTTCTTCGCTCTTAATACTTCCCCCCATTTCATTTATCCGATACTATCGACGTTTCGAGCTACTTTAGAACTTACGAAACGTATTGCTGAAGTTGGCTAAGTCGAAATACTCACATTTGTTACGTAAGCTTCTCTATTGTACACAATACGTTTAAAATTTAAACGTAATCTCGAGAATTAAGGTGAAATTTATTAAAAATACGAAAAGTAAGTAAGGAGATTTATTAAATATTAAATGAGAGAATTGATGTACACTTCTAATCTGTATCTTATTCTTCATACATTACATTGATGATTGGTTACTGTTTATAACGTGATACTTTGAAATTGTTAGATATTTTTTTCATTTTAATTAATAGTGGACGAAATACAACGGACAGATTTTATATATTCCTATACCGCGTATTCCGTTTGCAATTACGTGCAAGTATTTTCGACTGAAATGAGGCTATCCGGATGCTGCGAGGTGTTGCGATAGATGATGAGCGAGCGAGCAGTGAATGAAAGGAAAGGTCCATTACAGTCGAGAATCCCTATTGCTAGCCAAGACAAAAATCTAAGATGATTGTCTTTTGTTTCAATGAACGCCGATTGAAAACAGCAATAACAATTTCTAAGAAGGAGCAGAAGTAAGATGCAAAATCGAAATGCTGCAATATTACGGCAGATTAAAATTAAATATACATTGCGTAGCACTTTGAACAAAGCTTTAAAACTAATAAAATCGTAATGTTAATATTGAAAAGGAAATTTAATTTGCTATTTTTTTAAATATTTAATTCCGCCTTTTTTCAGCATTATCTCGAAGTATCTTTATCGTTGTTTTAGCATTTTATAAAATTGAAATTTTCGAAGTGCGATAAATTTTTATGAATAGTGAATTGTGAATTTTCACATATTGTAAAAATAATATACCGAAAGAATAATTATAAAGCGTTTGCATATATATTTGTTTAAATAAGCTTGTTTGACAGAAGTTTTCGTCGCTATTACTCCAAACGATCACAAATTAAGACTGCTGACGCAGCTGGTAACTTCGCGTTTACAGAAAACCGGGAACTTCTGCAAACTTTAGAAGTGGAACACAAATGGTGGCAAGGATCAAATGGGTCGTGTCTGTTTGATCGAATTGACGAGACGACTTCGACCGATCTGCTAATTCGAGTTAATTATTGCTTCGAGACGATATACAGGCTCGCGTCTATTTAAAGCAAAAGCTATTACATGTATATTTTCTTACATGCAATATTTATTTGAAGAGACATATATATATATATATATATATATATATCGTTATTTATCTTGTAGTTCGACTTCGTGTAAGTGTCATAAAGTGACAATAATCCTGAGAATCACATGGTGTGCGAAAGCCCACTACGTCGGGAAGCGCGATTTTCTGAACTAACAACAAGAGTCTTCCTACCGAAAGGGAGGGTTGCTGCTATATAGTTGGAACGCGTAAGGGGGCGCCAAACGGCTTCGCTTATTCAGCATTTCGCCGACTATCCTGCGAGCCTTTAAAGACGATGTCACAATGGCACGGAACGGAGTGGCTATTATGCACGGTCCAGGAGCTCAAAGTCGTACCCTCCTCGCGCGAATCGCGCGATGGCAATAGTAATGACTGCAGTGGATGGAAGGAGGAAACACGGTTATTTCCCTCCGGTCCTAGAGGGGCGGGAGGGTGGCGAAAAGAGAATCCACTGGATAGTTGTTAACCCTCCTTCTTCCCCCATTCCCTGCCCCTCCCGTTCCCACGGGACAATCGTTCGTAGCTCGACCGGGAACAAGTCACCAGTGGTGCTTTTACGCGAATGAATTGCGAAAGCGCGGCTGTCGAGCATGTATTTACTCTATGTTTTAAGCCCTTCGGCTTGTGCATTATTATTACGAGCATGTGGAGCAGCAGTAATTATTGTTGATTTACGAATGCGTTAAACGCGAGAGAGCATCTGGCAGCTAGATGCATTGCCGCGGGCACATGAAAACGAAGTTCATGTGTCGAATTTCGTCGAGTCAATGTCACATCAATTAAAATCACTCTCGTCACGTGAGTAGGTCGCAGCTACGTGTGAAATCGCGAAGGATGGACAATTAATAGCCGTACATGTATTCGACAATCGATCAATTAATGCCGGTCGCTGCGAGATGATCCGACGAATTTATATCGTGGCAATTATAATCACAACACTCCTGTCAGACAGAACATTTTCGACGCATATTTATTTTTGAACGTGGCTACACTTAACATCAAAATAATCACATAATGTACACACATATAGTGACACATATACGTGCAAAAATTTGGTCAGATAGATTTTTCACATTTTCTTACAAAAGCGAAGACCGAAAGAATTTTGATTAATATTAAATATAAGGATACGTCATAAAAAAATAATCTAAGAAATGAATACTTAGATATGTATATTTAGTTAAAGGATTACTGAACTAGCTAAAGAAGCTCCTTTTGTACAAATCGATGATAATTAAAAAGATAATTAAATAATATATTTATATATTATTATATATGTTTAAATACATAATTAATATATTTAATTATAATTATATGTATATTTTTATAAATGTATTTTATTTAGTTAAACGGAAAGTTCGTTCCGGTTTTGCTAAGAGATAGCATTAGTATAAATACAAAAAAACCGAACAATTCAATACGTTATCATATAACAAGCAAATGTAAAACTAATAAAAAATTAAAGTGTATGTTTAATGCATGTAAATTTTTAAATTAAAAAATGCTTTAATAGATTATTTTATTTTAATATTAAAGTATTACAAAAAAACATATAACTTATATTATGCCGCAATATTAATTAATACGCATAATTATATCTAAATAATGGCTATAGCCGGCTGTTGCGTAATTAAAAATATTTTTAAAAAAATTTTTTGTAATATTCGGCATAATCGACAAAAATGACATAGAAATATACAATGCAATATATAACAATTTCCTTTAAGGTCCCTCACGATATTAATATTGTACTCCCAAATGATAATATTAGCATCAAAATTATTAAACTACTTGTCAATTTAATTGTAATATTATGTAGTCCGGATTTAGTTTCAAGCTGCGTTTCAAGACCGACAAAATATTCTGCGTGCAATTTACCTAAACTAAAAATTCTAAGATTCACACGAAAAATATTATTATTAAGCATCAAAATTGGCTTTAGATCGCATTTGGCTTTTCTAATCTGATTTGAACGTCTCATGATCTCGATTAGATTTCATATTAACGTTTGCTGATATTAATATCTTAATATTATTAAAACATATAAAAATACTTTTCAATGATATTAAAATAAAGTAACTTATTACAAGAGCATTTTTTAATTAAAAAATGTATATATACCTAAATTAGAAATCTTTTTACTTAATAGTTAAGATGTAATTCGGTGAATCCAGTTTATATGTGAAGAAACCCTAGTAAACACTCCGGGTGTATTGCTAGGGCAAAATGCGTCTCCGTAACTCACAATACCAACTTGAATGTACCTGCCATTTTCTGTTACGATGAGAGGGCCACCGCTATCACCCTGAAAATGAAAAATAAAATAATAAATTTATGAAAAGATACTACCAAAGTTCATTTACTAAAGCTGGCTAAAATGGTTAAGTTGATTCATATTCATATGCCTGTCAGAGTATTCTACTTAAACTTAATTCATTTTATAGTAATATATTACAAAGTTTTATTATTTGTGATTATTTTACCTGACAAGCATCTCGTCCCAATCCTGCGGCCGTGCAAATGTGCTTGTCAGTGACGCCGTGCCATTTGGCTTTGCATACAGTATTTTGAATAATCGGTAAATCGGCGTATTTAAGCTTTTCCGTCCCTCTACTGTCCTTGTGGTCTTTTCCCCATCCCATGACAATAGCATATTCATTTGCATAACTTTTATTTACATGAGCGAGCTGTATAGGTTGAATAGTATCTAAAATGGAAAAATGTTTGATTTAGTCATTTCTTAAAATCAGTATTGCGGCATGACATATACGTTCGTAATATTTCTTTTGAAATTTTATAAATTGTAGTATTTTTTTAGCATGTACTAAAGATTATAAAAGAAGCTATGTGCAATATAATTTTTAATTATAAAGTTCCTTTTCCGCACTTGTCATTTAAATTGTTATTCACTTTCCGCATATTTTCATAGAATATATAGATCGAATAGTAGGTAGGTATAGATAAGTATAAATATATATAATAGTTATAGTAAGATATAATAGTTATAGTAGATAGGATAGAACAATTAAATAACATACGACGTGTAAATTGACGCAAAATAAGAAAGGAAATAAAGAAATCTATTTATTAAGAAATAATTTATATATACTTACTGGAAAAGGGAATATCAGTCGGCATGTAGAGTAAGGCAATATCGTTGTGGACAGCCGGTGTCTGTTTGTAGTTCGGGTGTACAAATGCTCGAGTTGTAATCATTGATACACCGGGGCCTCGAAGGAAATCGTATTTTATACCAGACTTGTCGATGATGCCGAAAACTACAAAAAACTTTCGTGGATGTTTCACTGCGCAATGGCCGGCTGTGAGAACCCATCTTCTATTTATGATTGTGCCACCGCATTGTCCACTTAATCCGTTACCAAAAAGTTGATGTACTACTGCCATAAATGGAAATTCTCCTATGCTTGCGTAATATCCGCCTGCTATTCTAGTTGAGTCTGCATCTGTCATTTAAGAAAAATGTCAATCTAACGAAAATAAGAGGATGAATCATTCGTTTTCATAAAAGCTTTGATAAAAGTAAATTGTAAATTGTGTGCAAAAGTCATATGTAAAATTATATTATTTTTTAAATAAAGTAGACTATTTAAATATTTTATTATTGTAATCATTAAATTATGGAAATTAATAATGCAATTATTGGGTTGACTGGAAAGTTCATTTTGTTTTTTTGTTAAGAGATAACGTTAGTATAAATAAAAAAAACAAGAACGAATTTACCGTTCAATCCAATAATTACCTAATATTTATATTCGGATTTTATTAAAGAAAAAACCTTTATTTAACATAGGTAAAAATAATATAAATTTGCAGCAAATAAAATTCATAAAATTGTACGCATTGATAAAATTAATCAAAATTTTTAAAAATATATAATATAATTTTTATTATTTTTTGCTCACCATTGATATCCACATCATCAATATTGATATTCGAATCGGGATAGAATGTGCCGTTTTTGAATGTCAATTCGAACGTAAGAAGTTGACTTTGAGCGTATTGACATACAGTTAAGCTGATTAGAAATATTGTCGCACTTTTCAGATCCATGATTGTTCTGCGCGCTTTCCCTGCAAATTTCTTGTCTATGTAATTGTGCCGATATTTGTCCAATAATTATCAACAATAAACAATTATTAAAACTCTTGACAACTATTCTAAGAGATAAATCAATTTAAAAATTTTAGAAAATATTGCTTGCAAATATACATTGTAATAAATATATGGCATAAAGGATATTAGCATACATTATTTTTAATTATTTTACAGTTAAAGGAATACGTTTATACGTGCTTTTACAAAAATTTTTGATATTTATTTTTTATTTTTTATTGACTACTACATTGTTCAAACGGTACGGTAAAAATTAGGAATTTGCCTATTTAAATATTGAAATTCGGAACACAAAGCACAAAAAAATTGAGATTTTCTTATAACTTAAAAATGATTAATCTTCTTATTATTATCGACCTACAAATTCTTGCAAATATTATTAATATTACTTACCTTTTGGTTATTGGTATTCCACAAATGTGTGTTACTTGTGTAATTTTCGTAATATTCCAACGTTGCTCCAACGAAACTTTAATTTAATGTGCGACTGTCGTTAATGCCCAATTTGCAGATAATATATGGGACTAACGAGGTCAAAATGTAATGAAATATCCGAAAGAAATGTCGCAACGATCATTAAGTGAATATATTTTGTAAGCACGGAATCAAATTTATGTCCAATCAGGCGATTTGCAAACGTATTCTTTTATCGCCTGAATATCTATGCGGAGAGAATTGTTTTGTTATATTTTACTACAAAATTTTGTACAAATTTTATTTTAATTTGCCAATCTTTGGAACATTATTGGTAACGATAGAAATATTTGAAATATAGAAAAGACATTCTATAAACTACATTTAAAAAATTATTAAACAGATTGTTAATTGTTTTAAAGCAAAATATTTAAAAGTAACCAAAAGTAACAGATAATTGTCGAATATAGCCAATCAATTACTGTGTTGCATGGTAAAATTATGTTGAGCGACTAAGCGACTTATTGTTAGTCAGATTGAAAATATGCAGTATTGTAAAAATTATATAAGATACATGTTTATCTACTACTTAGCATTTATTTTGGCATTATTATTTAAAATAATGAACAATTATAAATTGCTTAATATTTTACAATTTTGTTGAAATTTTATTATAATGTATTTTAGTAAAATTTTTAATCAAAACATTTGTTATTTTATTTTTTATTGTCGTAGATGTAAATAAATCACCAAATTCTTTGAAATATCATATTTATTTTACATTTATTTCATGTATGCTCTACGCCTGAACACTCTTGTTACCAGCGTCGTACTGTATAATGCGTTCAATTCTTCATGACATTCTGATGTTACATGTACACTCAAACTTTGCTCTTAATATTACACGATCTAGAACATTCTCTGCTTCACGATACGATCGAGACTTGTTAAGTCAATGACATTAACGAAAAGTGACGCGGTAATGTCTTGTAAAATTCGCGAGAATTATTATCATATAAAAATGATATATTATTCGACAATTTTCTACAATAATTTTTATTACAACTTACTCGTGTATTGTTACGTGACGTGCCTACTTGTAAGAGACTCGACGAACTGCGGCTGCAGTCGAAGGACTCTTTATTTAAATCGAAACAATAGAGATATGTCAAAAAAGTCTTAGGGCAAATAAGTCATTGGAAAACACTTGAAATTCTTAGTTGCTGAGAAAAACACTTGAAAGTTTTATTGTTAGTCGTGGAAAAAAACACTTTTAGGGCTAATGGATAATGAGTCGTTGGAAAATACTTAGTTGCTGTATGGACAATGGACCTATAATGGCTTTCTTATCTTTACGATGTTATTCTAATCACAGAAAAGCATTGTTATCTTAAAAATAGGCGAACGATGATTTTACAGTCTAAGCACCTCAAATTAAGGAAGGAAAAAAGAGCGAGCTATAAAAACGTTTGTTTCTAATTGCTCTAGCCAGATTGCCGCGGCTTAATTTAGAGGCCTCGTTTAACAGCCGGGATGGAAATTTCGGAAGAACGTGCGCCCCGAGCACTCGACGTTTTCCCGATTGTTTTGCGCCGCGCGATGCGTCCAAGCGTGGTGGGTAAAATAGAGTCGTGCTTGTGTGCAATTGCACGCGTGCAATCTGCATAAATTTAGAGATTTCGCGCTCTTGTCGTCCCTTCCGGAAGATTCACGTCGTGTTCCGCATTCAATTACAGGGGTAAACGACACACCCGCCGTGCGAGGAGGTCTCGCGACGTGGCGAGAAGCATATCCGGCGAGCCGGCATTTCTGGCACCGTTAACGACGGCACAATAAAATTTCACTATTGAATATATTTTTTATTATTGTCGGGTTTTTTGACGCCTGCTCGGCTGATACAATTGTTACAAGCATAACCATAATTAGAAGTATTTCTCTTAGATTTCAAATTTAGTAATAGATTAATAAATAAATCTCTTATATCAAAGAATCCACGATTTTTTATTTAATACTTTTGTTTATTTAATACTGTACAATTTTTTAGTCTGGTAGTATTGATTAATAAAAAATTGATAAGCATTTTTGTTTTGCAATCATTATTTGATGAATAAGGAGTTTGTCAGAGACCGAGTTTATCGTTCTCAAAAATAAGATTTAATATAGCACATCAGAATTCTTTTTAAAATTTCATACGTTTTTACTCGTAATTTTATGGACATTGGATAACTGATCATATTTTATTTTCCATTGATCGTACAGTACAATAACAGTACAATACAGTACAATCGTACTTATTCAAAATCTTTAATGGACTTAAATGTAAATGATAAAAGACCTTTTGATTTGTTTAAGGGATTATAGGACCTTTGCACGAAAAAAGACTTTACAGTAAAATGCTTACTTATTAATTGAGAACTTAAGATAAATAAACAAATGGACAGAAATAAATACTTAAAGATACATAAATAAATAAATTTTTATAAACATGATCTTTAAAGATTTTATGAAAAAATGACGCATAAAAAGTTACAAAAAATAATTAAAAGTTATAAATAATTAAAGAATGTTATTTTATTTTATTATATTTTTTATTTTGTACGATTTAGCGAAAATCAAACATAATTTTTTAAAACCCTAACAGCGTTCTCTTCGTAAATAATAACTTTATTGAACTTTATTAAACTTTTAAAATAAATTTAAAACAATTTTTGAAAGTATCAATAAAAATTTACCTCTACCTCTATTTCAATTTTTTTATTTTGATATTTTTGGCATTAAAAATAATATTTTAAACTCTAAACCCGAGCATGTTTTCGGTACTTTGTCCTCATTAGGTCGCGAAAATGACGAGAAAATATTATTTATATAGAAAAAAGGAAGAATAAGCGACGGTTCTTTTGTATTGTGCCGAGCATGCGCCACTTGAAAACGATCAAGAGCCAAGTTTGCTGTGCCCAGGCCGGAATCCGGGCTCGACATTGCAGCTGCGCCATCGGCCGATGACGCAACTCGATTATACAGCACACCGAGCAATAGAACGCAGTTGCGGCACGGGTGCAATCTCCGCCGCTCATTATTTCATTTGAAAGTACGATGTCGAGAAAAGTGTTAGCGCAACAAGGCAGTAGCCATTTTAATAAAGAATCACCGCGACGAACGGCAGTGGATCTCGAGCGAAACGCTTAATATCTCCGAAGGATAAACTAGCTTCTGACAATAAATATGTAGATTCTATGCAACTTTCAATATCTCGTAACAGATTGTATCTTTATTTTCTCGTGTCCTAATAATGAAGCGACTAAATATTCATATCGCGGGCGCAAATGAAAAACCCGCGAACGAAAAACAGCATAAAAGTATAGCTATAACAAAATAATTTCATATTCATAATCCGCGTTCGAGAATATGCTCCAAAAGTCGATTAAATATTCTATAGATAAATCGTTTATAATCAAATGCGCATCCAATATTTTATTACATAAAATAACCGAAGGTGATAATTGTGAGAAAATTTATTGACTTTTTATACTAAATATTGTATACGGGTTATCTTTATTGTGAAGAAAACCAACAGAAATAGTCAACTTAAGATACTTGCAAAAACAAGAAAAGTAGAATATTGGCACTCGTAGCAAAAGAATAGATAGATCTGCGGCAAGTCGTTTCCTCGCAATCATGATTTTGAGTTTGAGACGAGCTTTGTTCTAAAAGTCAATTGAACTTCTTATGGGCAACTACGGGCAACAGAACGGAACAAGGTTTCCAATCCGCGCGTTCGTCGGGCGATCGCCTTTGCTCGCGCTGCCTTCCACACGAGTCCGAAATCTATCCCGACATTGCGGCTGTGCCGAACGGTGACGTAACCGACCGGGATATACAGTATGGAGCACAATGGCCTGTATGTAGGTCGTGGTGTCAGTGCCACCCCCTCTCCCACCGCCTCTCTATTCCTCGCCGGGGGTTTGCTGCCTCGATCCCGGCGTGCCTGGAAAATCTCCGCGATATCCGCCGGACGCTGTCCCCTTCCCGTCTCCACGTCCGGCTCCTACGGCGCTATCACAGCCAATTTGACCATTCGCATTCGCGCGGATCGCCGCAATTTCAAGTCCGCTAATGAATGCGGTCGCGGACAAGCGGACCGACATCCCGAAGCCGCGGCCTGGCTCCGGCGAAGTTTCGCTTCGCTTCCTGGGAATCATCTGCGGCGCGACCTGGATTCGCCAGAGCTACGGCCACGCTATGACATTCTTCCTTTCCTTGCAACAGCGGTTACAGAGAGAACTTGCTATATTTGATCCCTTAAATCTCTCGATTCAATTGTAGTTATTGCACTTGGTCTTAATAAACCAGAAAAATTTTTCACATTTGGGAATTTGTTCCGCGTAATATCATGATAACATTTTGAACAATTGTCGCAACGTTCAATTTATATTTGTAATATTTATTTACTTAAATAATGTTGTGTGTACGATTATTGCGTGAGACACTAACAAAAGACGAATAAGTGACCTAAATATCATATTTGTCGATAAGAGTTAAAATTTGGATTGAAGCATTTAAGCAATTGGAATTTTTTTAAAATTAATTCGTATTATTATATTGTAATATTATACTGAATAAATATATATATGTTATATATATTGTCGATAAAACATAATTTTGAAATATTTTTTCAAAACTTGTCCACGTCGTAGTTAATTTTACGAATTTTATGACTATCATAAAAAAGCGGCTCACTTTATTTTATCGAGTTTTTAATATTTTAAATATCGAAGCGAATATCCTATCTTTTAATATTTTATTTTACATATTCACACAAGATCAAATTACTACTTTTATAAAGCTTTTTTTTGTTGAGTACCGTAATTTAATAATTTATCAAACTTTCTAACCAGAAAAGAATTTAAGACTCATGCTGTACGTCGTTATACCGATGAACGCTGAGAGGTACGAGCGTGCGAGCGAGCATACATTTTTCACCCGAAACACGAAATATCCAGGCGAAGTATGGAGGAGGGTAGAATTAAGTAGGTAGTTTCCCGGGCTGCATTTTTCGTTTTTGGGGTGCAACCCGCGCGCTATCGTGCCGTCTTATACTCACTATCGTCGTTGCG